CAGGGAGATGGAGTTGGAGGGAAGGTGTGGTCTGTCGAACTGCATCGTGCGGCCTAGCGGGTTATATACGCACCCAGCCTACCCCTACGCATTCTGCTTACAAGCTGCGTAGCAGTAGTGGTCAACACTGTTCCCTAAGTTCGAATAAGTTGCATGCCAACCATTGTATGGAAGCTACCCCGCACTGCGAAATATGGAAAGTAGTTATCTTAGTGCAAGTAGACATACACTGCACGCGCAATCGTTAAGCAACGCTACCAATACATAGGACACTTGCACCAGTGACACCTTGCTGCAAGTATCGTATACCCAGCTGCACCTGGGTTGCTAGTAGCACAAGTAGCTCCGCCCTCTCAGTGGGCTCCTGGTGGCCGTTCCTCCCCTTGTCGTATTGGTGGTTGCCTTTCCCGTTGCGGTTCTGGCTCCAGGACACGTCAGGGTGGTTGTTGGCCCATTGGTCCATGCAGTCGTGGCTCCTCCAACGCTCAAGACATGCACCAATTGCTGGTGTGATAGGCCTCAGTGTCGTAGCTCTGGAACGTGGGCGGTTCGACGCTGATCTCCGGGGTGGTTGCGCCGATCCCGAGCCGCTCGCGGCTGCTCTCCAGGCTCCCGCCATGGTTGGAACTTGCTGTGGATGTCGCGGTGGTTGTTGCGCGCTGCGGTGCGCAGCAAGTTTGGAGTGTCGTGTGGAGCTGGTGCGGGTTGTCGTGGCCAAGGAGTTCACGTGCAGCGGCGATTCGTAGGAGAATGCGTGATTGAGTTCTTTGTTCACGTAGCGGTCGATGCCACGCTGGGTTGGTTGATGTCGCAGCTGTGGTTCTCCATATGGCAGGGGGCCTGAACATGTTCCCGAAACGAGATGTAAGAGTATTGGTTGTAAGGCATGTACAAGGTTTAGGGATGTCAGGGATGTAAGTGATAGGTGGGAAAATGGAGGTTTCGGTCAAGGGTGGCCCCCTAAGGCTGGCACGCTGCCACGATTTCTGGGCAACGTGGCTCTCCTTCTCTTCCTCCTCCGCCTCTTCCTCCGCCTCCTCCTCCTCCTCGCCGTCCTCCTCCTCCGCCTCCTCCTCCGCCTCTTCCTCCTTCTCCCCCCCTCCTCCTCCTCCTCCTCCTCCTTCTCCTCCGCCTCAGGCCGCTGTTTAGGCTTAACGTGCATAGACCGACCGAGCCGCACGCACAAGCTTACTCAGCAGTGATCCCGCGCCCCCTCGCAGACCCAAGGGCACTGGGAAGTGGAGGACCCCCCAGCACAGATCCGATACCGCAACTTGCATTGTCTCTTCGGTGTTGTTGTTTCTTCGTTGTTTTCTTGCATGGTTCGCGTTGCACGTAGATTTGCTGCATTCGGGCGCCGTTCTCGGGAAATCTTGATATCAGCGTTCCTTATTATCCTTATCAAAGTGGCCCCACTCTATGCCAAGAGGCATGTTCCTTGCACCTGGTCTTGCGAATTGGGTCAAATAAGAACGCGTGCACATTCCTTCTTGAGTTGGGGAAGCGGGTCTGCACCACGGGAGGTTCCCTCCAATTTGGCAATTGTTTCACATGATGCTTGCACCGAAGACGCTGGGATATGGATTGAGGAATCAGGCCGTGGGGAGTGCCGCCGGGACCCAATGCGGGAGACCGAGAACCCAGCAATTTCATGCGAAGAAGGCGATTCAAGTCCTGACGATGTGGAGACCATTCCACATGTTGTATCACATGATTCTGTTTTGAATGGTGCTTGCAACGACGGCGCTGCGAGAATGTTGGATGCATCAGGCCGCGGGGAGTGCCGTCGGGACTCACTGCCGGAGACCGAGAACCCAGCCGTTACGGAAGCCGCGAGACTGTTGAATGAATCAGGCGGTGAGGAGCGCCGTCGAGACCCAATGCCGTGTTGGCCGAGAACCCAGTGTTTTCGTCACGTACTGCCGCACATGACTGTGCTACACGTGATGCTTGCAACACAGACGCTGCGATATTGTTGAATGAATCAGGCCGTGGGGAGTGCCGTCGGGACCCAGCGCGGGAGACCGAGAACCCAGCAATGCATGTGCATGATATTGATGTTTTAATGTTCACATCGACCATTGACAATGGGATCAGCATTGGCGGCGACGTTTGTAGATTGGAGACGGCCAAATTGAGTGAAGAAACTATGAAGTTACAAAGTTTGATAAACGAAAAATTGGCACGAGAGGAAAACAGCATCATACGTTTTATGAAGAGATGCTGCATTACAAGTGCAAGAGGCACGCCGCTGAGCTGGGTAAAAGAGTATCCAGGATTGCAAGCAGCTCGTAGCGGCACAGAACAAGCAATAGAGCAATTGGTGCTGGACAAAAGGGTACTTATCACACGCAGGAGCAAGCATGGCAATGTGTTCGCCCCTAATAGTTCAGAAATGCGCATTTGTTCCGCGACCGAAGCTCGCCAGACAAACAAAGCAAGAACAAGCAGAGCCAGAGCAGCAGACCAAGAACAAATAATACCCACCGCAAATAGCAGCGTATTTCGGCAAAGCGGTGCGTATTTGGCGCGTCGCGAATCGTGGAGTAAAAGTGTTGTCTGGCCCCGCCCCAGTGCCCCTGGGTACTGCGGCTGTCGCCGCTCCGCGGCTGTGCCCACGCTCCTTCCTCTTCCCCCCCTGGTCGGAGGTCGTCGGCTCTTGCTGGCTCGGTGGCTTCCTCGGCTTCCCCCTGTCTTTCCCCTCCCCCGCTCCCGCGTGCCTTTACCCCCCTCGGGGCGGTGGAGTTGGTTTCTATTTGGACGTGGGGGGCGGAGGGGGGGGAGGAGGCGGGGCGGGAACGGCTCTCAGAGGGCGGGCCCCGCCCCGGACAGACCAGGGCAGGCGCGTCCTCCTGCATTCTCAGTTGCTGAAGACCTCCTGACGGCTTGTCTGTCGGGCTCTTCCCGCCCGCCCGCTTCTGAGGCCCTTGCCCTTTCTCCCCCTCCTCTGACTGCTGTTCAGGGGTCTCCTCGGCGCTGCAGGGTCCCTTGCCTCGGGGCAGCAGGACCACGACCCACGGGGGTCGGGCCTGCCTCGCCCCAGGCAGCTCCGCGGGTCGGATGACCGTCCGATGCCGAGGGCGCCGCCTCCATTGTTCATCCCAGGGGTCAGGAGTGCCCAGAGTCGCAGACGGCGGGACCCCCCGCGGCCTTATCCTTATCCTCTTCCTCCTTCTCCTCCTCATCATCGTCATCATCATCATCATCACCATCATCATCACCATCATCATCATCATCATCATCATCATCATCATCATCATCATCATCATCATCATCATCATCATCATCATCATCATCATCATCATCATCATCATCATCCCCCTCCCCCTCCCCCTCCCCTCCCCTCCTCCTCCTCCCCCTCCTCCTCCTCCTCCTCCTCCTCCTCTTCCTCCTCCTCCTCCTCATCTTCCTCCTCCTCTTCCTTCTCCTCCTCCTCCTCCTCCTCCTCCTCCTCCTCCTCCTCATCGCCATCATCAACATCACCATCATCAGCATCATCGTTCCTTTCCTCCTCATCATCCTCCTACTCCTCCTCGTCCGCCGCCTCCCGCTCCTCCTTCTTATCCTCCTTTTCCTCCTCCTCCTCCTCATCATCCCCCTCCCCCTCCTCCCCGTCCTCCTCCTCTTCCTCCTCATCATCACCATCACCATCACCACACCATCATCATCATCATCATCAGCAGCATCATCATCATCATCATCATCATCATCATCATCATCATCATCATCATCATCATCATCATCATCATCATCATCATCATCATCCCCGTCCTCGTCCTTGTCCTTTCTCCTCCTCCTCCTCCTCCTCCTCCTCCTCCCCTTCGTCGTCGTCGTCCTCCTCCTCCTCCTCCTCCTCCCCCTCCTGCTCCTCCTCCTCCTTTTCCTCTTCCTCCTCCTCCTACTCCTCCTGCTCCTCCTTCCTCCTCCTGTTCCTCCTTATCCTCTGCCCCTCCTCCTCCCCCTCCTCCCCTTCCTCCCCCCCCCTACTCCTCCTCCTCGTCCCTCTCGCCCTCCTCGTCCTCCTCCTCCCCCTCCTCCTCCTCCTCCTCCTCCTCCTCCTTCTCCTCCTTTTTCCCCTCCTCGTCCTCCTCCCCCCCTTTCTCCTGGCACCTGACTTCTGGTGGCGGGAATGTTCGTCAGAATGCAGCCTCCCCTCATCCTTCTGCTCCGCCTACTCGGTGCCTCCTCCTCCTCCTCGTCCTCATCCTTCTCCTCCTCCTCCTCCTCCTCTTCCTCCTCCTCGTCGTCGTCGTGGTCGTTGTCGTCGTACGCCGACGACAGCCAGGACGAGGATGACCGCGAGGATCACGGCGACGGTGACGATGACGAATACCGATGCGGCGACGACGACGACGCTGACGACGACGATAACGCAGGCGACGATGTCGGCCACGCCGACGATGTTGCCGACGACGTTGGCGACGACTTTAACGACGTCCACGGCAGGGGTCGTGGACTTTGTAGGCCAAGGGTCCCTGCCGCGGCCAAGCAGGAGCCTGTGCTGGCGCCTCTTCTCGTCGTGGATCGAGGATCTGGGGCGTGATGTGCCCGCTTTCGCCTCCGAAGATCCAGGGTCGATGGCTCCGGACGTCTTCTTGGCCCGCGTTATTTGGCCCGGCCCCGGCGGTTGGGTGGGTCAGAGAGGGATCGAGGCCTTGGGACGTTTTCGGGTTTATCCATAGGCTTCTGGTGGCCTCTGGAGGCTCCCATTGGCCTTCAGACTTTCGGGGGCTTCTAAGACTTCCGAGTCCCTCCTCGAGGACCGAGAACCGATCGGCATGAAACAAATGATCCTGGAGAACGTGTCGTGAAGATTTTCTTCACATCTTGCCTCCCAATACCCTGCCAAGGCCACAGGGCCAACAGAAAACGGTTGTGGATGAAACGTTGTTCCTCTGGGAATGCCCTGCTGTCCCTGATCTCTGTCCACCAGAACCAATTTGCTTCATGACAAGTCGAGGATCGAAGTTGTTTGGGCTTCCTTTGGGGGGGGCATATAAGGCCCAGTCGGGCTTTCGACTGCTACTAGGGCCTTCCCTGAGGCCTCGGGAGGCGTCTCTGGACCCCAGGGGCCGCGATGCCGCGATGGGGCAGGCCCCACGCCTCCCCCACCCCCTGCTGTCAGAGTGTTTCGATACCTCTGCCCGTGCTTCGTCTTCGACGCGAACGCTGCACCCGCTCTTTCGAGCCGCAGCTGCCGCAGTCTCTTCTTCGAGCCCACCTGGGCGACCTTGGGCGTGTGGCGCACCTTCTCTTTCCTTTCTCTCGTGTTCTCTTCCTTCTCGGGCCTCTGGGGTGGCCCTCGTCGCCACGGCCAGATCCGCAACCCACGCCTTTCGGAACGCCCTTCTGGAAGCCAGACGGCCGACGCTCCATGCGGCCACCCCCGGGCATCCATACAAGTACGGGAGCCCCTTCCATGAGCAGAGGCATGCGGGGATCGGCCCCGGCGCATTCGTCGAGGGCGCCCCCGACATGGTGTCCGAAGCCGACGAGTCGCTGATCTACAATTCGCCCGAGTCAGCGGGAGTGGCGTATTCGACAATCAGGTACGGCGCCACTTGTTCCAATTGGGATAGTATCTCGCTGCAGGATACCAGTATTTCATTTGCACACACGCGCCCGATCCTCCCTCCCTTTCTCCCCACTCCTCCACCGTTGCGACAAACAATCCGATCGCCTCCACCATCCTTCCACTCATCTGGTCCTCTCCCTCCTCCCTCTAACTCCCTCGCTGTCCCCCTTGTCCCCTTTTTTGTTATCCTCCTCCTCCTCCTCCTCCTCCTCCTCCTCCTCCTCCTCCTCCTCCTCTTCCTCAACATGACCATCACCACCATCATCAGAATCATCAAAGTCACCAGTATCATCATCATCATTAGTCTCAACGTCATTATCATCAGCACCATCACAGTCATCATCAGCAGCATCATCATCATCCTCATCCTCATCATCACCACCATCATCATCATCATCAGCAGCAGCATCATCATCATCAGCATCATCATCATCCTTCTCCTCCTTTTTCTCCTTTTCCTCATCCTCATCCTCCTCCTCCTCCTCCTCTCCCTCCTCCTCCTCCTCCTCCTCCTCCTCCTTCTCCTCCTCCTCTCCTCCTCCTCCTCCTCCTCCTCCTCCTCCTCCTCCTCCTCCTCCTCCTCCTCCTCCCCCCCCTCCTCCCCCATCCCCCCGTAACCATGTTGGCACAAGCCCTTTTGGTTCAAGGCGGAGCTTACTTCCCGTCCCGACTCCAGAGGCCCGAGGCCGAGGTGGAGGGAGGGGCAGCCCCTTCCTCAGGGTTGGCTGCCTCGGCCAGGTTTTTCGCGATCACTCTCAGTTTCCTTCTTATCTTGTTGGTCGCCGCATCAAGCGGCCAGCCAGTCTCCCAGCCGCCATGGGAGGCCAGAAGCAATGGAAAAAACATTTCTGACAGAAGCCAGGTTGCTGGGGATGGACCTGGCAAGGACGTGGTGATCACAAACATTGGTCAGAATGTGGCCAGCCTTTCATTCCCAAGCAGTCTAGTCCAGGCCATCCGCGTGCCAGCGCTGGTCAACAGATGCGTACGGCGGCAGCGGAATCTCACAGCACCAGCAGGACAAGCGCAACTGGTTGTCCCGCAGCCGCACCAGAGGCAGCGAGACTCCGCCCACGAAGGATGGTCCCCAGTCGCCCCCCGCGCCAGAGCTCACAGACCCAGCCAAGGACGACGTCTCCATTTGCATCCAGGTGGCCAATTTCTGGAAGACGCGGTCGGACAGGAAGGCGAACAGTACATCCAGGCCTGCGAAGACCTTCGGCTGGCCAAGTCGAGAACCCTCGAGGTCAAGTCCTTTGACCCCAAGGCCCAGTCCTTTGCTGATCAGTTCCAGCGGCAGCGCAGACGTATGGAGCCTAAGAAAGGCGAAGTCGAGAATCACCTCATCAACCTTGACAAGGCTGCGGCGGTGCACGACAAGTCCGTGGAGTCGTGTTCAGAGCTGCAGTCAGAGGCGCAGCAGTTGGAGGCCCTGCATAACGCAGCTGCCAAGGCTGCGGTGGCGGAGGCGACAGCTCGTCTCAACGGCTCATCTGAGCCAGCCACTCTATCCATGCTCGTCGATGCCAAGTTCCCGGGCGAACTGCCGCCCGGCATCCAGCAGGAGATCGAGAGCGGCAATGCTAAGCTCAACGTGGAGCGGAAGCAGTCGCAACCACAGTTCGAGCAGCAGCCTGGTCCCACTGATGCCGCTGCACCGGGGGCGCCTGTGGCGCTTGCAGCAGGCCCAGCAGGTGGAGATGCTGATGCAGTCGCAGTGCCTGACGACCAGCCAGGCGAGAGCCTGGACATGCCCGCGGACACAGACCACGGCGCAGTCAGGAAGGCCAACGCAGCGGAGGAGAACCTGGTCCTCGCCAGCAGCTGCATCCTGGGCCCCAGCGTCAAGGCCGCCAATGCGCAGGAGAGGCTCTCTAATCGCCAGGCCAGGGCTCACAAACCAGTCGATGCTGGTGCGGCGGCAGCATCAGGTGCATAAAAACAAGCGTGGGTCGCACACTCACGATTGGCATTCCCAGCTGCAGCAGTTGGCCGGCATTCGCAAGTTCCTGGTTTCTCCCGAGGCGAAGTCCGAGAAGTCCGTCCATGCCGCGCGCTGCCAAGAAAAAGCGCATGCAGCGTTTCCCGAGGGCGCGCAGTCAAGTTGCGCATGCGCATTGGTCGAGTGAGAGCTCTGCGATCCGCGGGGGCAGACGCCAGGGAAATTTGGAACGCGTGCCTCCAGCAAGCTGGGTATTTCGGAACTGGCCCAGGGGGTTTTGGGAGGCGCTACATTTGTTGCTGAAGGTCGCAGGGCCCAAGCGCGCTACCCGCGCAAGAGCTTTCGCTTGCTGCCCTCGAAGACCACGCCTGGAGATCGGCCTTGGGACTGTGCATCTGTTTGGGCATGATCGTTTTCCGAGCTGCCCACGACATTGAAAAATGCTAGTTCGGGCCCGCAGACCTCAGACGTCTTAATTACTGCTGGCATCCTGGAGATGCCTCCTCTTGGATGGGTTCACATCGGGGGTCCTCTGTCCTCTTGGAGCGGCGCAGTCAAGGTTGCCCAGCGCCGGCCAGGCGCGGGCCAGCCCGATGATGTTCGCCAGCGAGGATGGCGAGACCTGCCCGCTCACAGCCACTTCGCGCGCTCTCTTCCGCAGATGGCCGGCAGCCGCGCGGCAGGGGCAGCTGGCCGACCAGACCGCCATCGAAGTGGGAGTTGAAGCCGTTGACCCCCATCGCGCCAAAGCAGCGCTGACAGACAGACAGTTGGCAAGATCGCAGCCTCCGAGCGTCGTACCTGACCGAGTCCATATGGACCACGTGCAGGCTGAAGGATGCTGGGCATGGCGCGGAGGACGAGATCAGTTGCCGCTTGCGCTGGTTTTCGTGAGCCCCCGCTGTTTGAGGTCTTGAGGCCGCCTGGCTTAGGTTTGGCTGAAGCGGCGCTTGGCATCGCCATTGCCTTTCGCCTGCCGAAGCTTACGCTGGTGAAGTTTATGTTGATGGAAGCGTGGCCACAGACGGCCACCAATGGCGTCGCGCCCCTGGCTGGGCACTCGCAAAGTGTGATCTCCATTGCGAGGTAGTTTCGTACCTCTGTGGCCCAGAGGGAGAGCCTCCCCCGCGACCTCGCCCGCCGCCGGATTCCCGACGCACCTGGCCACCAGCCAATTTTGAGGAGTGACTAGGGCCCGCGATGATCTCAAGGGCGCGGCAGCCTGCCCGAATTCTTACAAGCCAGCCAGCAGGAAGTTTGATGGCCTATGCTGTAGGTGCATGGTCTATCGCGGAAGTGTGGCTAGGCGGAGTCAACTCGAGGGGGGCTTTTTCAGGCCTTGGGGCTTCTGCGGCCCCTCCCCAGACCCGTCTCTTTCGTGTGGTGCGCGCCCGTGTCGGGCCATGTTTGGGCCTGGCAGGAAGCTCGTCGGCTTTGCTGCCTGTGCCACCTGCCGCCCGCGCTGCCTGAATGACAAAACTAAGTAAGATCGCGCCAAGGAGCGGTGCCCAGGCAATGCGGTGGCCCTGGCCAAGCTAGCGCTGCAGCCCACTTGCCACCAGATCCAAGTTGCCGACCGTCTGGATGACGAGAGTGTTGTGGATGCTTGTTCTCGGCGTGGCAAGTATTCGGGATATACCATGAAGGGCCTCCACATGAATTGCCCCGAGCGTTTTGTTTCCAAAATCTCGACAGGTGCTTGCGAAAACCTTAATATGGAGAGGCACCCCGAGGCCTCAATGCAGAGCCTTGTGGCCTTCAAGCCCAAGATTTCTGTTGCCCAGGTTGTCAGCCAGGCAGCCCAGGCTGAAACGTTCAAGTCGCCGTAAGCGAAGTCGAACCCTTCCCGAAGACGTGCGATGGTCCCCGATCCTCCCCTTCCCCCTCCTCCTCCTCATCCACCTCCTCCTTTTTTTCCTCCTCCTCCACCTCGTTGTCCTGCGTCCTCCTTCCTCCCCGAATGGGCCAGGTGGGAGAGGGCGAGGGGAGGGGGGATGGCGGAGGGGGACGTGGGAAGTGGGGGGGATAGGATTGGTGGCCTCAAAAGTCCCGCCACGCAGGAGCACTCGTACGAGGCGAGTGTGGCGTCATGCGCGCACACGTGCTCGCAGGCCCTTGCTTTTCCCCCGTCTTTCCCCCCCCCCCTGTCCCCTATTTCCATCCGCCCTCCAGCCCTCACCCTCCACATTCTCCAACCACCGTTCACCCTCCACCCCTCCACCCCCTGACCGTCCCCTCCCCCCTCCTGCTCCTCCCCTGCCCTTCCTTCAAGGCGAGCGAGTGCACCGGCTTTATTTTCAAGCCGAAGGCGTGTGCTGCGCATGAACAGTTTGGACCTGGCTCTTGCTTCTTGTATTCTGAATACTGCGTAGAGACGGGCGACCAGTGTTGGGATTTGTATTTGATTGACGCGATCCAACCGCCAACGCCGCCGCCCACGCCGAAACCACCGACGCCATCTCCACCAGAGCCGACACCAGTGCCCACAATGCCACCAACGACACCAGAACCAGTAACGCCAGAGCCAACAGCAGCGCCCCCGGTGCCCACACCCGAACCAACAGCGCCAGAGCCCCCATCCTCACAACCGACAACACAACCAGCGCCAATCGAGCCAACAACACAGTCGACAACGGTACCGCCAACTACAGAGCAGGCAATGACGCCAGAGCCAACCTTGTCTCCAACCGTGGCTCCCACGATGGCACCAGTGACGCCAGCAGGCGCAGGCGCAGCTTCGGCGGAGCCGGCGACGCCCCCATCCCCAACGATGCTTGTCTTTGCGGCTCAGGTCGGGGATGATGTAGTGTATCTGCGCAACCCCGCTGGCATCACGCAGGGAGCCTCCCTTACGTTCACAACACCCGATCACTCAGAGACTCATGCGGTGAAGGGCGTGAACGTTGGCGCAGTCATTCTCGACTCCGCCATGGAGCACGACTACCCTGTCGATTCGACGGTCACCCTGCGGCGCGCTTCGTCGCCGTCGCCGTTGCCGACGCCGACGCCGCCGACCCGAAGCCGGCTGTCGTCCTCGCGCAGGTCCTTCCCGTCGTTCACGTGGTTTTTGCTGCCTTTCGCTGTCATCGTCGCGGCCTGCCTGAGCCTCAACTTCCTGGGCTACACTTACAGCAGCGACCGCTGTGGCCGCCTCGTCGGCGACCTGAAGGGTCGTTTCGACGGGTGCGTCGGCTCGTTCTCGGCTCGGAGGATGAGGGATATGGGCCGGCAGGATATGATCAAAAAGGTTTTCGTTTGTTTCGACCGCGACGGCGACACCCTTCTCAGCTCGAGCGAGCTCATGCTGTTCGCGAGTTGCCTTCCGCACGACCCGTTCATAGGCAGCCAGAGGGAGTGGGATGAGCATTACAGCGCGAGCATTGGGTTAGCTCATGTTGACATGGAGCGATTTCGGCAGCTTGTGGACAGACTGGATCCTGTACCTCATCCAAACGGCGGGGAGGATGGTAGACAGACAGAGGGCGATCCTGGTCTGTCGCTGTACCAGACGGACGACGACCTCCGTAGCTTGCTGGAGATGCATTCCTCAGACTTCCGGGGGTACTTGGTATCCTCTGTCTTCGACGCGTTTGACCGCGACAGGGATGGCGTCCTCAGCAAAGAAGAGCTGCGGGTCTTTGCAGAGAGCATGGCCGAAGAACCTTTCGCCGGGACGGCGGAGGACTGGGAGGTATTCTACGCGGAAGTCATTGACAAGCAGGGCCAGAATGGTCAGGAGGGCGAGGGTGAGGGTGAGGGATTATGTTGATGATGTTGATGATGGTGGTGGTGACGGTGGTGGTGATGTTGATGTTGGTGATGGTCGTGGCGGTGATGTTTATGATGATGGCGATTGTGCTAATGTTGTTGAAGGTGGCGACGACGATGATGATGACGATGATGTTGTTGCTGCAGCTGGAGATGATGCCTGTCATGGCTATGTGAAAAGAATTGTCACGATGACGACGATGATGACGGTGTTGGTGATGATGACGATGACGATGACGATGACGATGACGATGATGATGATGATGATGATGATGAGGAGGAGGAGGATGAGGATGGTGATGCTGATGACGAGGATGACGAGGAGGATCTTGAGTCGGAAGAGGATACGGATGCAGGGGATGAGGATAAAGGGAAAAGGGGTGGAGTGCGAGGGCGGGGTTGGTTGGTTGGTTCGTCAGTCGGTTTGTTGGTGGGTGGTAGGGTGGGGGACGATGATGGTGGTGGTGACGATGCTGGTGATGAAGACGACGGTGATGGGTATGGTTGTGGTGATCGTCTTGAGAGGAAGGTGAGGTGGTGGATCAGGGGCTGGACTTGGAGGAGTCTGATGAGGAGCGGTGCAACACAGCATTATGATAAATAGGTGGCGGGCGATGCACATTATGAAGATGGGGATGAGTGTGGGGTAGGATTAGGCGATCATGACACTGATGCATCTGTCGAGTGAGGATGAGGGGGTGAGGACGAGGGGTGGGAGGGGGATGGCGAGGAGACGGACCGGAGGAGGAGGATGAGGAAAGGCATGGGGAGTAACATGGGAAGGGGAAGTAGACAGGTGAGAAGTTTGATGAGGGCAGGTTGTATTTGAGGGGAGGGGACGAGAACCGAGGAGTTGGAGGGGGAGGCGGAGTGGGAGGGAGGAGGGGATGTGGGGGAGAGATCTGACATTGAGCAGGAAGATGATGACGAGGATGACGTTGGGGAAGGTGCGGGCGAGGAGGAAGATGCAGAGGTGGTCGAGGAGGAGGTGGATGGGGTGTGTACCATGAGCTTAAGCAGGAACCCGATGAATGAGACTAATGTTTTGTTTTGGGGGGGAATGCTTGGGGAGTCCTTGGAACGGTGAGATGGAGGCGAGGAGTGCGCAGAAGAGGGATGATCGGGAAGGGGTGATTTGTGATGATGAGGATGGGGGTGATGATGATGATGCTGACGATGATGATGCTGATGATGATGCTGATGCTGATGATGATGATGATGATGATGATGATGATGATGATGATGATGATGATGATGATGATGAGTATGGTGATGATGCGGATGATGCTTATGAGGATGACTATGGTGATGCTGATGACGACGATGTTGATAGTGATGATGATGGTAGTGCTGATGCTGAAGATGATGAGTATGACGATGATGCGTATGCTCATGCTGATGCAGATGACGACGATGATGATGAAGACGACGAGGGTGATGACGATGATGATGATGATGATGATGATACTGATGATGATGATGATGATGATGATGATGATGATGATGATGATGACGATGATGATGATGATGATGATGCAGATGGTTCTAGTGGTGGTAATGATGCGGTTACTGCTGCTTATGTTGATGGCGATGCTAGGTATGACGATGCTGGCGCTGACAATAACACTGCCGATTATGATGCTGACGACGACGCTGACGATTGTAATGATGCTGTTGCTGCTGATGATGACGAGGCTGATGATGCGGATTATGGTGGTGTTGGTGTTACTTTCGTTATATTGGTGATGCTGGTGTGGTGGCGACGATGGTAGCGATTAGTAGCTTGATGAGGTAGCTGCTGATGATGCCGATTGCAATGATGATGGTGTGATGGCAATGACGACGATGCTACTGGCATTGATGATGAGGTTGTTGGTGACGACGGCGACGATGGCGATCATTAGTGTTGCTGCTGGTGCGGCTGATGACACTGGGAGGTGACGATGCTGGTGTTTGTAGCAATGGTGCTGCGCAACCGCTGGCCGAGGCTCGGCCCAGTTCGCCCCGACAGCTGGCGGAACGGTCAGAGGCCATGTATGCCAACATATCCACGCAGGCCGACGCCCGTCTAGAGGCGGCGCGAACAGCGACGCACGTTTCTCTAGACCTGAGGCCGACTGAAACTCGGCGGCGAGCGAGGAGGGGAAGTGAGAAGGAAAAGGCCTCCCCAGAAGGTTCGGAAGTCCCCGGGCCTTCTGAGAAGTCTGAGAAGTGTTCTAAGCTTTCCCCGAAAACCAACAACAACTTCTCAGAAGGCGCGAGGGCTTCTGAGAAGCCTCGCCGCCTTCTGAGAAGGCCTTCTCCGAGGCGACCCACCATCAGAAGCCACACGGCGCACGAAGAGCAGATTCACAGCTGCTGCGCGCCCACATGGCGCACTGACGGTACGTGTCCTGTCCACATCCGTCGCAGTCAGCTCATGAGAAGTGGGCGAACCGCATGCACTGGCAAGGCCTGGCCATTCCGCCTCGACCTAGAAAGATTGCGTTGAAGGACAGCGCTGTCGACCTCTGTACCCTGCCTAGGCCGCGAACCCACATGACCCCAGCAGCACTGCAATTCGATTCCTCCCCATCCATCGCCTCTTCCAGGTCGCCCTCGCTCAGCGCTCGCATGTGATGCTCATCCGATCTTCGCTCGTCCACGTCGCTACCCTCCACTCCGAGGGCTGTCGCGCTCTCGGGGTCCTGGTGGTCGCCCACCGCGTCCCCCACCAAGGTTACAGTCTCGGCCGCGGCGGCCACCAGCGAGAGCACCGAGGCGCACTTCATCAGCTTCTCCTCGACCTTAAGGGCCTCCCTCCTCGCCTTGCGTCTCAGGCTTGACTCTGCCCTCCACCGCGGCGCCCCCGGTCGGAACAATCCCGCCGCCGATCCCGGCTGACTCGCCGAAGTTTGAGGCCTGGTACTCCGCTTGGGTGATGGGTTGACGTAGCTCTCCAGCTCCGTCATCCTTGCCGCTAGTCTCCATGTGACCGAGACGAGGCCAGTGTTGGGCGCGCCCTAGCGCCGCGGAGCTGGCGGAAACCAGCTGGGGGGGAATCACTTTCGCGTGCAACGCGACGTTGCGCCTCAGCTTGGTGATGTCGTTCCCGTTCTCGGTGGCCATGAACTCTCACAGTGCTGGGGCAATAGCTGCCAGCTTCTCTGCCAGCTCGCCAACGCCCAAGCACGCCGCCAGGTGGACGTAGCGATTACGTCAAAACTGCGCCTCACGGCGGAGGTCCTGCTGCAACGACTCCGACGACCAGCGCGCCCACCGCTGGGCAGCGCGCCGCCCTGCCGAAGTTCTCAAGACTCCGCGCGGGCGATCCGCCGTGGCCACCCGCTCGGCGGCCGCGCGTGCCATCGCAAGCGCAACAGCCGCGCAGGAGGGGGAAGAGACTGAGCCACCCTCTCCTACGAAGGAGTGCGCACCTCACCCACCCTGGCGCCCCAAGGCAGGCTTGAGCAATAATGGCTGCGGTGAGGGTGATGGTGATGGTGATGATGACGACGATGATAATGATGATGTTGATGCTGATGATGCTGATGATGATGCTGATGATGATGATGATGATGATGATGATGATGATGAGGTTGGTGATGATGATGCTGCTCTGATGCTGATGATGACGAGGTGCTGATGGTAATGGTGATGATGGTGATGGTGATGATGATGATGCTGATGTTGGTGATGTTGATGACGATGATGACGGTGATGGTGATCATGCTGATGGTGATGGTGGTGGTGAAGATGATGGTGGGGGTCATGATGATGACGATTATGGTGGCGATGATGTTTGGGGAGTGTGGCAGTGGTAGTGAAGAGGATGATGACGATGGTGATGGGGATGGGGATGGTGTTGCTGCTGACGATGATTGCGGCGGTGATGTTTGATTATGATCATTCATATGAGAATGGTAGCGATGCTGTTGGTGGTGATGATGTAAATGACGATGACGACGATGATGCTGATGGTGGTGATGCTGGTGATAATGCTGATGCTCATGCTGATGATGTTGTCTCTTTTTCTCCCGTCCCCCTCGCGCGTCGTGGTCGTCTGCAGCTGCTTCGGCCCTGAGCCTTCGCGTGGCATCCTTGGGCGGGCGTTTTATGCAGGCGCTTGCCAAGGCCGCCATCAAGGGCGCGGGGGCGGTGTTTTTGGCCTAGGTCTGCGACCCGCGTTCTACGAGCGGCTCGGAGGCCAGTCTCTGGCACCTCTCGCGGACTACGTCGGTTCCTCCGCGGGGTCCTCGTAGTCCGCTCAGGCCGACCCGAACGGCGGAGGGCATTGTCCTCCTGCCGCTTTGGGTGCGGCCTGCCCCACCGTCTGCCTGGGGCTGGCGGTGGACCTGAGCAGCGGTCCTCGGCTGCTCTCGTCGGTCGTGGCCCTGCTGGTAACCACTGCAGCCTCCGCGGGGGCTGCTGCATCGGAGCCGCTGGTGGGGGTCATCGGGCATCTCTCGCGCGCGGGCTTCGATCTGAGCCCCTGGCGGGCCTGGTCGCGGCCCGCAGCGTGTCCTGGCCTACGGCCCAGGAGTGCAGACTGAGGAGCCCAGGCGGGCCTTGTCGCGGGGCCCAGCCGCCGCGCTTCCCCGCGGCTGAGCCTGGCTGGCGGCCTGCGAGCCGCCCGCTCGTCAGCGGCCATGGCGGGACTCGCCGTCCCCGATGGGCCTATTTGGCCCAACCTTCACCCATTCTCGCCGCCGTCAGCTTCGCGGTGCGACCGCTGGCGGTTGGACGGGGGCGAGGTGAGCTACGCCGCGACCCCCACTGGCCACTCGACCTGGGATATCCTGCTCAGCCGACCGTCTCAGCCTGGCGGGGGCGGAAGGATTCACAGGGCTGGTGGGCCCCTTCCAGGTGGTCAACGTGCCCTTGCTCGGCGCGGCGTCGCGCTCGCTGAGCACGACCGCCTCGATGTTGGTGGTCGATTTTTGGAGGTCTCCGAGATGGACCTGGAGGTTCTTGCCCCTCTGGGCGAGGGGTTCGCCGACGAGCCCATCCCGCTCGGGCCAGCCCGGTCACCCCGTGGTCGCGCGCGTCGGCCGCACCTTGCGGGCGCCGTCGGCCTGCGCAGCGGCTGCGAGGCGACCCGCGGCGCCATCGGCGGGGAGGAGGCGCCCCCCCGCGCGGAGAGGGCCACGCCAAAAGCCTACCAATCCGTGGACGAGTTCGCGGGGGGCGAGCTGGGGGGCGACGCCGACGTCGAGGAGCGCCGCCCTCTCCCTGCGCGGGCCCCGCCGTCGCAAGCGGCGCCTTCTGCTCCGCCGCGGGGCCGTCTCGGCGCGCGGCCGAAGCTCTGGGCGAGCGAGGCCCGCCCGCGGGCGGGAGGGGCCATCGCCGCCGCTCTGGGCGAGGGGGCCCTTTGGCCCGAGCAGGGGTCCAGCGGGAGATCCAGCGGCTGGCGGCTGCGAGTGCGCCCCAGTCCGCGGCCCCACCCCTGGGGGCGCGCCCGAACATGCCCGGGGCCCGCGTCGAGGCGCCGCAGTTGTTCGCGGTTGAGGCGGCGCGCGTGGGCACCCTTCGGGAAGACCTGAAGGCGACGCTGACGCAGTCGCCTCCTCCCCGCAGCGCGCCCGCAGCCGCGCCGCCGCGCCGGCATCGGTGCCGGCGGCAGCTTGGGGAAGGGCGGGCCTGGGAGCGCGCGCCCGTTGCTCCCGCCCCCCCAGGTTCCGCCGCCGTCCCCATGCCGCCCTCGGGCTGCGGCCCTGGCTGCAGACTCGGCGCTGCCTCCGGGCGCGGCGGGCGCGCTGGGGCGGCGCTTGTAGGTGGCGGCCGAGCTCATGACCGTCGCCCGCTGGATGCCTGACTGGGGCGACGTGTTCGAGAGCGCCATGTCGCGGCTCCGTTGGTTTGCTCCAGACGGGCCCGACGAGGCCGCCGGCCCCTCCGCGCTGCCGCTCTGCCTCTGGCACGCGCCGCGGCAGTGCCGCCGCCTGTCTGATGCGGGCGGCGCGCGCCCAGTGGGGGGCCCCGACGAGCTGCTCGCCGCGGGCGCCGTCGCCCCCGCTCGCCCCCTGGAGGGCGACGACGAGGCCGCGGGCCCCCTCGCGCAGAAGGCCGCGCGGGGAGCGGGCCCGGGGGGCGACGCAGCCCAGCGCCGACGGGCGGCGGCCACTGCCGCCCTCTGGCACGCCAGCCTTGAAAGAGAAACGTTCCCCGCCATGGACTGGGGCCCGCATGGCGAGCGAGCGGCGCCGAGCCTTCGAGCGCGCAGTTTCGGCGCGTTCGCCCACTGACCTGCCCCCCTCGGCCCAGCGCCGCGAGACGTCGCGAGAGAGCTTGTCCGGGCCGGTCTCGAAGAGGGGGGCGCGCCGCCGTCGGAGGCGGAGGCCTCCGCGCGCCTCGTCGCCTTCAGGGCGGGGGCCTCCTTCGTCGAGGCGCGCGAGGAACTCGCCGTCGATTCGGGCATCGAGTTCGAAGGTCGCGAGGCTCGACTTCCTCCGTTCTTCGCTCCCAGGCGGCGGCGGGCCGAGTGCGTCTCGCGGAACCGCGCGGCGGCGCGGCGCCGCGCCGCCGCGTGGAGTGGGCTTGTCCCGCGGTGCGCGCGCGGCCTCTGCGCTGCTCCTGCGGCGGCCGCGCCAGCGGCCTCCCGCGCCACTGCCTCGCGTCTTCTGGGGCGGCCGTTGGCGACTGGCCTCCAGCGCCGAGCGCTATCCTCAGGCCGCCGCCGCCGCATCGTCGGTTTTGCCCGCCCTTCCTCCTCTTGCTCGCGCGCGCGTTGCGTGCGATGTTGCCATTGGCGACCGCATTGTCGCCTCCTGTCTCTCTGCGGGCCCATGTGCGTGGCCCGCGCAATTCTCGGCCAACCGCCAAAGTCTTCCTGGTGCGCAACGGATTCGAGCATGGGCATGGCTGAACGCGCCCCTCGGCGCGCGGAGGAACTGAGCGGCGCCGCTCAGCCCGCGCGCGCGCGCCGGGGCCGGGCCACTCCTGGGCCCCCCGCGCGCGCGTCGGCCACGGCCTCCGCCCAGGCGACCTTTCGATGGCGCGGAGTGGGGGGATGCTCTCTCTTATTCTCTCGCCCCCGCGCGCGTCGTGGTCGTCGGCAGCTACTTCGGCCCCCGCCCTCTCTTCACCTTCTCTGCCTCTCTTGCCTCATCCGAGGTCAGCGGCGCTGAACGCGCCCCTCGGCGCGCGGAGGAACTCTCTCCTCTGAGCGGCGCCGCTCGGCTCGCGCGCGCGCGCCGAAGCCTGGGCGCATCTGGCCCCCCGCGCACGCGTCGGTCGCGGCTTCCGCCCGACGACCCTTCGCTTGCGCGGAGCGGGGAAACCTTCGCGTTGTTGGCAATGATGCTGATGATGGCGCTCATGATGATGGTCATGCTTGTGATGATGATGATGCTGATGATGACTGGGGTGATGGTGGTGATGGTAATGATGGCGGTGATGATGATAAAGATGAAAATGTTCATGATGATGACTGTGTTCACGATGTCGATGATGATGATGATGTCGATGGTAGTAGTGCCAATGATGATGCTGGTGATGGCGACGATGCTGCTGCTTCTACTGATGATGTTGAGGCGCACAGATACATACACGAGGAGGGGGAGGGCGAGTGAGGACGACGACGAGGACAAGCACGAACGGCAGGAGGACGGCAGGGCCTCTTGATCTAGTGGCCCGTCCCGGAGAGGACGGCCCGGCGACGCCGTCGACGAAGCTGCTGGGGGCCTCCGAGGGCCTTCGAGGGCCTTCGAGGGCCTTCGGGGAGGGCCTCCGAGGGCCGTGGAGGGCCTCCGAGGACGCTGCGGTGGACCCCCAGCTGTTCCGGTTGCTCGTGGACGACTACGGAGAAGACGCGCCGTTCGGCATGTCGGATGTTGAACTCGCGCAGGCGCGGCGGTCGATCGCTGGCGACCTCCGGCCTCGTCGCGCCCTCGCCAGCCTCCTCTGCCATGAAGTACACGCGTTTTGAGGAAACGGTTCTTGCTGTTTGTTCGCCGCCTTCGGCTTCCCAGGGGACCATCAAGCAAACGGCTTCAGGACCCGAACCTTCATGCCAATTTCCCGTCGCCGATCTCCAATCGTTGTGACTTTCCCCCTTTCTCTTTCTTTGTTTTTCCAGAGTTCGGGTGGGCGGGCTCGTTTTCCTTCTCCTCCCCTGCCCCCTCCTCCTCCTGGTACTTTGCCGCCTCCCTCTCTCCCTCCTCGTGATCCTGCTGTTTTACTGCTCCCCCTTTTCTCGTTCCTCATCCGCGTCATTCTGTCCTTCTCCTCCTTTTCCTCCTCCTCATCTGTCTCCTGCTTCCTCTCCTCCCCTCACTCCTCTTCCTCTCCTCTTGCTTTTCCTGCTCACTCTCCTCCCCTCACTCCTCTTCCTCTCCTCTTCTTCCCCCTGCTCCCTCTCATCCCCTCACTCGTCTTTCCCTCCTCCTCTTCCTTCTCCTGCTTCTTCTCCTCCCCATCATTCCTCTTCCCCTCCTTCTTCTCCTTCTTCTACTCTTCTCCCTTCTCGCCTTCCCCCCGATCTGTCGTTCCTCTCCTACCCTGCTGGGTGGCGGGAGGGGGGGCTGGCCAGGAGGGGACGGAGAGGTGCGGTGGGCAGGCAGGACGGGGGCGGAGGGGAGGAGGGAGGAGACAACGTGGAAGGCGCCACAGGATGGGAGGCGCAGTGTAGATAGGCAGCCGCTTGGGCCTAATCAGGCCCCTCGGGAGTCGCGCCATGGTTCAGCATGGTTCGGCGTAGTCCCAAAATGGTTCACCAAGGGCCTGAGCAGAGCACTGTTAGACCTGATGAGGCAGAGACTGGGCAGAGAGGAAATACATAGGAGGAGCGTGATGCATATAGTTCAGGGAGTGAGCGAGGGGAACATGGTGGAAGAGAGGAGAGGAGGACGAGGGCGATGACGGTTTCTTTTTTGAGAGCCGAAGTACAGGGGTCACAGAAACTGCGTAGCGATAACACACGCTCCATCACTCAAGCAGGAGCTCGACGTTATTAGAAACAGTTCCCATCGAGACGCATCTCGCATATATATATATATATATATATATATATATATATATTAAGTTAGCCAGGTCCTCTCGAGACGCTGTTCGCTGGCTGCTAAGCCAACAAGCAGCGTGTCGCTAGGACGTGGTTCGTCGGTAAGCGAGAATCGTCTCGATAGGAACTGGCCTTGCTAGCTTGCGAAACTGGTCGTCAGCAACACAGTCGAGAACATGCCACCTGTAGGCCAAGACGGTGCGCATGTCATAATCAAATGTGTCATTTAGCTCGACTTTGCCCGATACCGTACAATTTTTTAAGCGGTCTGAGAGACCCTGTGGCTTTCCAGATGGAAGTTGTTGGCGACGACGGCGCAGGGCCCCAACTGTCAGAAGCTATGGGAAATGTTGGAGACGAGTGCGGCGACTGTCCTGTTCGGGCCAGGCGCCCCCGACGGCGGCAACGATGTGAGACAATGGGCCCAACCAGGATAGTGCTGATAGTTGTTTCAGGAGTTGGCTGGTGGTCTACATTGATCAAGCCTAAGGATCGAATTTTCGAGGCCCCACCAAGTGAACACATTATCGGAGCGGTGCAACACAGTCACGAAGTTCTTAATGGTGAATCAGCCCTTCTCGCGGATAATGATTTCAGCCATTTGTTCAAACGCATTCGGTCCATGACTCGGGCCACTGCTGTATTCGGGCTCGTCAGCTATGTATTGCTACGGACCGCATTCGGTTCGAAAATCCACCAACCATGGCCCCAGCTCTGCGCCGCATGGTCGAACGATGTAGTCAAATAGGCGTTCCAAACAGTGAGCTTAGGGGCCTGCCTGGTGACGACGCACTCGTTCGCGAACTTTTAGCGTGGGCGCTTGGGCGCGCCATCTTCACAGTGTGCACGCTTGCGCCTGCGTGTGCTTCTAGAGTTGTGCTCGGTGCTGAAGCTGTGTTTCATTGTGTTCCGCTCGCGGCACGGCCCAATGTACGCAACCTGTTGCGGGAGCCAGTGCGAGCAGATGCTGGAAAGCTTTATCACCAGCTTCGCACCGCTGTCCCTACATCTTTTTGCGTGCCAGGCGTTGTTGCGCAGGCGGCAGCCGACGCTGTGCAGGACGCGGCACTGGATGCGATTTGTCTGATCGAGTTGGTGAGGGCATACAAGCATGTCAAGAACATCAGACGAATCCATGCCTCTGCGTGTGTGTTCAAGCGCCCGTTTTCCAACTATGTTAAAGTTTGAAGTGGCGGCGTTGTCGATCATGTGCATGCGCCTTCATATGAAACTATGAGAAGGGCCCGCGCCCGACTTGTCATAGTGGCTATGCTGCTGATAAGTTGTTCAAAGAGATATGTGAAAGTGTGCCCGCCAACTTGATCAGCATAAACGTTTGTCATCGATGCGAGTCCTCAGGGGCGGGGCTTGGAGTTGCACGCGCCGGCGGTTGATATCTGGGCTGGGGTGCCAAATCATTCGAAAAGGTGATGCCATGCGCGCAGTTGGGCAAAATACTTCATCGGCAGGGTGGGGCAAAACGATGGAGACATCTTGGCAGCTGTTCTTAATATTCTGACCCTCGAACGAGTCGCTCGGCGCTGCGCGCCAGGCCCATCGGCACGGACCAGGGGGCTGAGTGGCTCATCCCGAATATGGTTGGCATGCTCTGTGATTTCTATGAGCTGCTCGACCGAAAGTTCAATCGGCAAAGATGGGAAGAACGAGGTTGCGTATTTCCGAGGTGTCTCGAGACCCCAGGGTGGCGCCACGTGTGGGATATATTGCTTCGCAAAGGTCTTTCGTCACCCGCGTGGTTCCCTGTTTGGGTCAAAGGTGCCAAAGCAATTGTTCACTGGTTGCGGCAACAACCCGTTGAACATCTTCTAGTCCGAAGGCCAAGCTCATCCAGGAAGGCGGGGGCAGCTTCAGTCGCGCAGCCGATGAGGCCGCCGTCTTCTGCGCGCTGGAGATGGCAGGCGTCGCGAGGAGCTGGGCACTGGCATCGACACTTTGATTGCATCGCGGGACTCGCAGTTGTTGATCAATCGCAAAGACAAGGAGTTTGTAAAAGATGCGACGGAGGCGATGCGGTCCAACAAGTGGAGAAAGTTGTTTGAATTCGTGCAGTGGTTTTGCGTTTGGCTGCATCACTTGCTGTCCTGGGGCCAAGGGTGCTCGTGCCATGGGCCAGGTGGCGGCGAAGCTTCGCGCTGGCCACTCAAAGGGCGTCGGCTGCCAGAGGCCCACCAATGCGCGATGCATCGCCTTCGAGCTGGAGTCGTTGGGGTCAGCGGGTGGAGCGGTCTTCGATGGGCCCCCCTGACCGAATTGCGAGTGACATCCAGGGCTGCGTTCGGATGGCCGAAGCAGTAGCCAAGCGCAAGCTGAAGCACTTGGACTGGATTCCGCATTTGCTCTCTTGGTTGCGCGGGCCAGGGATTCGAGATACATGTATAGCGCAGTGGGGGCATGCACCCGCGCGCCAGCACCATCGGGCGATGACCGCAGCGGGGCGCTTCCCGAGTCGGCTGCCGCAGCCCAGCTTGCGCCAGGTGCCTATTGGCGGCAGCGCGTGCGAAAGGCCCCGCGCCATGGGCTCGCAGATAGCTAGGCGCCCCAACGCATCCGAGTGGCCCTGGATCGCCAGTTCAATGCGGATCGATCAATCCTCGAAGATGTGGATGAGTTGTCCAGTGCGCTCAATATTGATGTCAGTCAAGCGTGGAAGTCTTATTCGTCGATCATCCGATCATCATTCGCTTCGCAGTCTTGTCGGCTGGGACGGCCCGTCCGCACTCGCCCCGACAAGCTGTGCGCCGACGTTTATTCGATTGCGCACCTCCTGCCCGAGGATGCCGGCGCCGTCGCTGGAGATCCTGGCGACGGCGGTGGCGACCCCGACGGTGGCGGTGGCGGCCGGCCGCCGCCGCGCTTCGGGCCCGTGGCGCCGCGTGCCCATCGGCCCCCTGGCGAGCCCGATGGAAGCGGAGGCGATGGTGGAGGTGGAGGCGGCGCTAGGCTCGGAGGCTGATCTGGTCACGCCGAGGCCCAGGCGAAGCTGATTCACCGGTGGCTGGCTGCGTCGTTGCAGCAGTTCAGTTTTGTTTCGCCGCCAGCCCGAGGCGAAGACGGTTGCAGAACTTCTTGCGCGGCAAGTCTTTGCCCGCGAAAGCAAAGACAACTTCGCTGAGACGCGCGAAGAGGAGGCGGCCCGATGGGGGGGGGGCAAACGCGCCGACAGTAGTGGGTTGAAGCTACCCCCCCCCCCCGTAGCCAGCATTTGGCGAACCATCCCCTGCCGCCCCTCTCGCCGTCGGGGGCAGGGCCCTCGCCCTCTCCCTAGTCGCCTCTCTGTCGGCGGGGCACAGGGGGGGGGGGGGGGGCAGGGTTGGAGGTAGTTCTGGCTAGCAACTGGCAATGGGTAGCCGATCTATCTTGTCTAAACAGTTGAAGCGCGCCAATCTCCCCAGGCGCAAAAGCGCGCGCTGCGCCTCCCCCTTCTGGGCTGCATCCTGCGCGCGCAAGAGCGGGCCAGGGCGCGCGTCGCCTTGGCGCCTTAAGACCGCCCGGTCTGCTTTGCGTTAGCACAGCCCGAGCCCCCAGAGAGGCCCTCAAGTCCCCCGGCATGGTGTCGCGTACTCCGAGATTACTTCCGACCCCCTTGCCGGCTCCAAGTCCCCTGAAACATGTTTTACGACTCCCTTGGAACGCCGTTCAAACATTCCAGAAATTTGCCTGTCAAATCGCTGGGGTGTTTGAATGGATGGGGGGGGGGGGGTCTTCCGCGGGGAAGGCTTGCGCTGCCCCGGGTTCACCAGAGAGGCGCGTGCGAGATATCTGCGCAGCCCTCCGAGCGATGGGGCCCCGTGGAGGACGATCGGCCTCTTGGGGGCGAGTTGGATTGTTTCCCATGGGCGGACTCTGGCATAGTTGACCTTGCCGCGCTTTGCGGCGGGCCGACGGACTTGGAGCGTGACAAAATGCAGTTGTGGGAGGCTCGCCCTAGTGTCGTTGGCGGTCGCGTGCGTCTCGCGCGCCCAAAGCTCTTGCAGCCCCTCGTTCCGATGTCTCATCCTAGCTGCCCTGTTCTGGCTTTATCAGAATTCTCGGCATCCAAGGGGTTCGAGGCAGTCCGCCGCAAGACTAACCGCGGCGTTGCATCTCAACAGGTGCGCGAGTGTAGCAAGTTTCTGGGCTCTTCGTTTTTCCTGCATTCCGTTCGTTTGTTGGAAAATTTGCGCGCATCTGGCGATAGGTTTTCCCTAGCGGCCAGCCGCGGGCATTCGACAGGCTCTTGCTGAAGACAAGGCGCAATCACCCTGTCGACAAAGGCCCGAAGCATTAGTTGCAGCTGCTCGGCGAGGACCCCGCGGGCCAAGCCATTGTGGGCGTGGCCGATCGCGTCGCGCCGCCTCCCAGGCGTCCAATAGACATTGCTGGGGGCGATGAGCCTGATGCAGGAGGTCCGCCAGCGCCAGCTGGTGCGATCGCGGATGGCGACGGCCATGGCGGGGCAGGAGGGGTCCGCGGCGAGGGCTGCGATGATGGCATCGCCGCGGATGCGGACGCGGAAGGTCCTCTGCCGCTGCCCCCTCCTCCCGCGGGACCTGCAGCCCCGCCCGAAGTAGCGGCTGCAGCGGCTCCCGCGCCAGGGGTCGCGGCGCGCATCTTGGGCGAGCCCGTGAAGTTTATCCCCGGGAAAGTTTCAGGCGGCTGCGTTCACTGGGGACGTCTCCAAGGGCGCTGTAACAATCCTGCTCGCACTGCCTTTAAGTGCATGAAGTCGGGGGGCCTCGGACTTGGGCCCTGAGCAGTCTGCGCCCAGGGCCGCCGAGGCGCATCTGGGCGCGCGGCTGCAGCAGAGCCGCGCGCCTGTCGCTGGGCACGAAGCTTTTAGGCCTCGGTCGCCGCCCAAGGAGCGCATCTATATAACCGCTGACGCGGCCGCTGCTGCCATAGCTCAGCGACTGTTGCAAACAACTAGCACAAGCGAGGGAGCGGTCGGGCAGGGGAGAGGGGGCGGGGGGGGGGCAGGAGGGATGGCCAGGAGCATGGTAGGATGGGGAGGAGCGTGTACACCTTTAGCCCCCCAAAAGAACTCCCCCCCCCTGAGGTGGCGCCTCTGTGAGGGACCCAAGCGGTTCGCTTAGATGGGGCCGCGTGGGCTCTAAGTTCAGAGCTTGTCGCAGCCTCTACATTGGCCTCGCCTTGGTTACATTCTCAGATGTACACTGGCATATGGGACGAAAACCACCCTCAGGCGTGATAAACCATGACAAACCATGATACACCATCCCAGACCATTTCAAACCATGGTGAACCACCCCAAACCATGATAAAGCATCCCAAACCGTAATGACCATCCCAAACCATGATGAACCATCCCAAGCCATGATGAACCATGGTACCCACTACTCCCAAACCATGACGAACCATTCCAAACCGTGATGAACCGGCACGTGGGCCCCAGGCATCAATGATTATGCGTCTTGGAAGTCTTGGAAGTTGGGCACCATGCGTTGGATGTTGCACGTCGTGCACGCCCGCAATGCCGATGCATCTCAGGTGAGAAGGTGTCTGTACCATTTGACTCTCGACTGTGCGAATAGTGAGTGCTCACTACGCCACCAGAGCAGCTCCGCTCATATTTCCACCCGTTGCCATTTGGGCTCGAAGCTTTTGCTGACCATCGTGACTTGAGGTCAGATCGTTCTGGCGCACATCACACACCTTCGCTCTCGCGCTCCAGTCAGTCTCCGACGTCTGGGCGCGGGGCGCTAGAGGCCGCTGGGGGCGAGAGCAGCGGCAGCGAGCCCCAGGGCGATCGCGCAGCTTCCATCGCCACCTCCTCGCGGAGCCGCTCAGGAGTCACAGGCGCTGGAACGTCCTCGAAGTGCAGCGACGCGAGGTGCTGCCTCTGTCTGCAGAAAGGCGCCGCCGTGAAGTATCTCGGCTTCATGTTCCACCCCAAGTGCGTCAACCCGGTCCGTTCGTCAAGGCGCGAGGATGCTGAGACGCTCGATGAGGTGATGTTTGCGGATTGCGACCGGTGGAGGAGCATCGCGCCGCTTGGCGCGACGGATGACGCTCGCGCTCGCGGCTCGCTCCATCGCGAGCAGGTCGCAGCGGTGGTCGAGGACTTCAAGAAGATCAAAGCTACTGAGAAGATCGCGCCGGAGTTGGAGCTATGCCTGGACCGTTACTGCCGCTGCAGGGAGTTCTGGGAGGGCGTGGATCGGGCAACTGCCGAGGCTGAGTTCCAGATTGCCATGGGACATCAACAGAAGAGAGGTATCAAGATCTTCGACAAGAAGAACTGCGAGCGCATCCAGGTTGACGACAACGCGATCCACGACAACGCGACTCCGAGCGCGGAGGAGCACGACGACAGGCGCCTTTCGCACAAGCGAGGGCGCCATCCTGTCGCATCCCCCCCGCTGCGCGCGCTCGGCGACGACGAGGCCGACGTCGAGGGCGACGCGGGCGAGGGCCCCGAGCGCGCCGACGCCTCGGCCGACGAGCTGTTCGACGACGGCCCCCGCGCCGCAGAAGACGCAGCGCCGCGGCAAGAAGAGGCCCGCCTCGCTCACGGCTGAGAACACGCGGGCGCTGGACAGGGCGACCGCGGGAGTTGTGGGGGGCAAAATCTCTTTTGGGCGGGGGTAGTGTGGCTTGGTGCGGAGGGGCAGTCAGTCGCACATGCCTGCATCCCGAGGGCAAGCGCGCCCGCTCCATCCGAAAATGCTGGACTCTGGCCCGCGCGCGTTGGTGTTTTCTGGGCTTGGGAGTCCGCGGCAGCGCGCGGCCCCTTAGATCTGCTGCCCCGCGCAGGCGGCGCCGAGCCAGCGGCGCGCGCAGACCGGGCGGGCTGCGTCGGTCTCAGGGGCGAGCCGCCGCAGCGGCAGGGTCGTTGACAAGGCCGCCCGGATAAGCTTCACGGTGGAGCGCAGGGTGCTGGGGGACACTGCCAAAGCAGCTCTCGTGGAGCTGCGCGGGCCCAAGGCCCCGCGCAAGGTGACGCGCGGGCTCTTGCAGAAGCTGAGCGAGACCGACGTCCCAGGCCTCGTGGTCGATCCGAAGGTTTTGAAGAAGAAGGGCGACGATCTCGAGGTCAAGGCGGGGGGGGTCGCCGACAATGCGCCTCTTTGCAAGAGGCCCGACCTCGAGAAGCTCGGGAAGGAGGTCGACGGAATCTTGCGGAGGATCGACGAGATGAACAATAATGTGACGCAACAGAGCGACTGCATTAATATGATCCTCGGAGAGCAGATGAAGTCCGCGAGGAAGGAGACGATGACGGCCAGGTATGCCAGGGACAAGGTCGCTAAGAAGTTGGTCGGCGGGAAGTTCGGCACCGCCCACGCCGAGACGATCGCGGCCATGGCCGGAGATGCCCTCGCGTCCGACACGCGCGCGCGGGCGGCGTCCACTCCGAAGTTGACGGAGCCGCCATCCCCAATCCGCCGGAGGTGGACGGGGACAAGATCTGCAAGTGGAGGAGCGACCAGCCGTTCGCCCTGGAGCCCTGGAAGTGCCAGGACAAGGATGCTATGACTACGTATGTGAGCAGCCTCGTCGCGTCGCTGAAGGGCCCAGGCCATCAGGCCTGGCTGGGCTGCATGCCGAAGGTCTCCTACGAGCCCGCGTGCACGGAGGAGTTCGCGATGTCCTTCAAGACCGAGCTGTCCCACTTGAACGACAAGGGGGGCCCCCCCGTGGATGTCGGCGTCTCGTCCTTGGGCGTGGCGCTGCGGCCCGAGCCAGTGCCCGCTGCCAGGAGTGGGGTCGTTGATCCAAGCTACGTCGGATAACATGTTCGCGCAGCTCGGCGACGCGGCTGTGATCCTCAGGAACGGCGCGTCCATTGCGGACGGCAAGCAGTACGTCGAGTCGCCTAAGGGGGTGAAGGACTTCAAGGAGAATGGCGTCTTCCTCAGCCTCCCCGTCGGCGACGCCGTCTCCGTGCCGCACGGTTGGCTTGCAATGCCATTGCGTTGCCCTCCTGTGGGCGCCGAGCAAGTCAAGGCGTCGTCCGAGGGTGCGGGCCCCTACTGGTCGAAGGCGATCTGCTCGGCGCCGTGGGCGAAGGCCCTCGGCGAGCCCCGCTGGAAGGCCATCGAGGAGTTCAACGTCGACAGGCTGGCGAGGTCGGCCACGAACAGCCCCCCTTCGGCAATTTCGAAGCGAGGTGTTCGGAAAGTCGTGTGAGCAAGTTGGCAAGAAGCAAGATGTGTTTCTCGACTGTGCTTGGCCATTTGGCCAAGCCTCGCGTTTGACCAGACGGTTGAAACCTGCAAAGCATGATGGCGATGAAGACGGTGGCGACGCGATGGATGGGGGCGGATGTCGCGGGGCCCAGTGACGCTCAGGTTTTTGCTTCAAGCGTTGAAGCGTCCACGCGCGGACTTCTTGACAAGAGCAGCCACCCACAGAAGCCGCGCGTCAAACATGCGTCGGGCCGTGAACGATATCTCGCAATGTCTGGCTGGACGCCATCGCCGCGTTACTTCCGCGGGGCCTCGGAATATCCCCCCCCCCCCCCCCCCGCACATGTCTGATTGGGCCGCGTCGCCACGTTGCCTTCGTCGGGGCCGGGGGCAACGCCCCCGCGCCGATGGGGAAGAGGTGGAGGGGGGGCAGGATGAGGAACGAATTCTTTTTTTAGTAGATGTATATATATATATATATATATATATTATATAACGGCACCGTCTTGGCAACGCTTAACGAGGCGTCTGTTTGCCGCTCGGGTTCAGCCCGAGCCTGGTTAGCTTCGCAATTCGTAAAGGGCCAACTTAGTTCAGCTAATATCGGTCTCTGCGATCGGCCCTGGCAGTGCTGCCGTGGCCCGTCCTGCCCCGTCGCCCTCCTCCGCCCTGCCCCTGCTGCCCTCACCCCCCCCTCTTCCTCGCCCTGCCCTCTCCCTTTCCTCGCTGATCCACTCCCTGCTCTCCGCTCCTCGTTCGCTCTGCCTCGCCGTTCCCCTTCGTTCTCTCCGCCCCCCCCCCCCCCCCCAGCGCTGCGCAAGAGCGCGCGAGCTGCCGAACGCCGGCTCTTTTTGTCCAGAGGTCTGCCTTTTTTCCTGTCCGACGAGCCGCTTTCGGCGGAGGCGCCGAGGCCCCCGCGCGGGAACAACCGACTGAGATTCGGAGGTCGGTTCCCAACGTTGTGTCAGAGGCGTCGGGGGCGCGGGGTGGGGGGCGCTTGTGCTTGCTGGCGATGGGCAGCAGGTGGAAGCCTTTCGAGATGCGTTGAATCGGGCACTCTGGTGATGAGTGTTCGAAGCTGGCGAGCTGGGCGGGGGCCGAATGATTGTGTCCGCAGAAGGGGGTTCGGGCGCGCGTGGGTGGCACAGCGCGGATGCGTGGCTATCGCCGCATAGCGATGGCGTGCGTCGTCACGTCGTTGACGGGGGCGACGGCGACGACGGTCGACGGTGGACAACGACGACGACGACGACGGCGACGGCGAGAACGACGACGCGGACGACTGCGACGGCGGCGACGGCGACGACGACGTTGCGGGGAAGTGTTCGCCCAGAGGGGTCTGCCTGTTTTGGCCCTGGCCCCCTGGGCCCCTGGCCCTGTCTAGTACCAACCCCGTGCTGTGCATCTGGTTAGGTGGTTGCCTTCGCGGGTGTACCCTGTCACGTAGCGTAAGCACGCATGGGCTCGGTCACGCGGTCAGACTCATGCCCCGACCCACTCTGCTCACCGGCCACCGTTTAAGGTTTCGGCTATTCTCATTGCGCGCGGGCCAGCCTTCCCGCGCGATGGCGGAAGGGGCAAGTTCCGCTTCCACCCCATTCGGCAGGTCCCCTGATTGGTGCCCCGACGAGGCCGAGGGCAAACCTCGCAAGCGGGGTGCAGCTCGCATCGATCCCGACGGGGTGGCAATGAGTTCGACACGCCCTGCAAGGGACCTCAGCACGATCCGAGTGACATCTTCTGCGGCTATAATACCACGCTCGACCGCAGCATCGACAGGGCCATCGCAGCGAGAGGGGAACTCCCTCGGCCGAAATGCAAAATCTACCCCATCGGCGCGTGGCGCCCCAGCAAGCGCGTGAAGCTGCTTCCTGTGATGAAGCCCTCACCGCCACCCAAGCTTGGCCCCCGTGAGCCGCCGTCGAAGACGGTCGTGAAGATGGGCGTCGTGATCGATTGGTCGTGGATGGAGTTGGCTGTCTCATCAAATTTCAAGGCGTTCGCATTGTCAATTGCATCGCGCGCCTGTTGTTCGGGCAGGGGCAACATATATTCCTTTGCAAGGGGTGCGGAAGCGCGACCGAACATGTTGCCATCGTCGGCGTCATCTCCCCGCCCGCGATTGCAACCGCAGCGCTTGCATTCCTATCATGTAAGAATAACAGCTAGCGTGCAACACAAATAACGATAATGGGAAGGAAGGGGGTGATAGCTAAGACGGGGGATGATAAATACGGGGATGATAACTGAGGAGGGGCACCATGAGAAAGTGCAGGAGGGCGGGCGGGGAGGGCGAGGCAACTGAAGCCGGCGAGGACGAACATGAGGAGAAAGCGAAGGAAGGCGGGGATGAAGGGGCGGGGGGAGGCCGAGGAGGGCGACGGGGAAGTCCTTCCAGGATGCCGAGGAGGGCGAGGTGGAGGAGGATGAGGAGAAGGAGACCGCCGCGCCCGCCCGCCCGCCCCCGCCCGCACGCGGTCGCCTTGGCGAGTTTCGAGGCGGCGCGGGCGCGGCCGCGGCCGCCGCCATTGCCGCGGGCGGCCCCCCTCCGCCTCTCCCCACCCCCACCGCCCCCCTCCTGCCCACTGCTCATCCCTCCCCTCTTCTTGCCTTCCCTTCCCTGCGCCTCCTCCATTGCCTTCCTCCCCCGCTGGCCTGACTTCTTCCTCCCCTTTCCCTTTCGTTCTTTCCTTTTCTCGCCGTGCCCTCCCATTATTCCACCCTCGCCGCCGTCGTTCGCCGCCCCTTCTCGCTCCCCCCCCTCCCTCGCACTCTCGCGTACGAGTGCTCGTTTGAAGCGACCCGGCGCAGGTTATCGCGGGCTGCGCTCCGGCTAGCCCATTCAGAGGAAATCAAGATCAAGAAAATCATGCCCCCACTACCCTCAAACAGAAATGAACCATATACAACTACCCCGCGCAAAGATGAACCATGCCTGACTACCCCCAACCAAGATGAACCGCGCCCCCCACTACCCAGCGCCGCGATCATCGCGGATCGCGCCCGCGGAGGGGGGCTGGGTTGGGGGGGACAACGTGGAAGGCGCCAGGGGATGGGAGGCGCAGCGGAGGATGGATGGCGGAGGGGGGGAAGGAGAAAATGAGAATGGCGGGGAACGGGCGGGGGGCCTAGCCGCCCTGATACGCCCGCGTTGAAACGCAGCGCGCGCCGCTTTCGAGACGTCCGCGCTAAACGCGCAGCGCGTTGGCTCGGCGCATGTTGGCCCACGTTTTGGCGCGCGCGTCGCGCCAAACGTAGGTGTTCGACGTCCTCGTTGAGCTCCGCGCCAGCGCGCTGCGGGTTGCGCGCCGCGCACCGGGGCGACTTAGGCGGGGGGAAGCGAGGGAAGAGTGGAAGTCTGGGCACCACTGACCAAGCTGCCAGGTCTGCGAGCGGGCCGCCATTGAGCAGCCCCTCGGGGCCGTTGGCCGCGTTTGGGGCTGCCAATAGGGTGCGCCCATTGCTTGGGGAGACCCCAACTCGCAGCCCGTTGGAAGGGGGCGCTGCCGGGGGCCCGCCCTGGCTAGCAGACCCACGTCGAAAGCCAGCTTGGGCTACCTGCCCCGGGGCGGGGGAGGAGGAGGGGGAGAAGGGAACGCAAGGGGGCGGCGAGGCAGGGGGGGGCGAGGAGGCAGGATGGCGCCCCACCCCAACGCGCGCGCCCAATCATGGCGCTGCCGGCGCCGGGCTTCATCCCGCCATTCAGGGTGGGCGCGCCCCTCTCCCGCTCAAGCTTCCCGCACCGTCCCGCCCCCCCTAACGACGAATAGCCGATGCCTACCTAATGCTGCGCGCTACCAGAATCCCAGCCGTCTTGGTTGAGTCGGGCCAGCCGCAGCAACGGACCGCAGGCTAGATGGGTTTGCGCAGCATAGCCGTGGCCCACAGTCCTGGCAGAACTCCAGTGCGGAAGCGCGCCAGCCCTACCTGCCTAGCTCGGCTTGCTACCAGTACTCTAGCCTTGTTTGTTAGGTCGGACCAGCCGAAACAACGGACCGCAGGCTGGATGGGCATGCGTAGCATAGCCGTAGCCCACAGTCATTGCAGAGTTCCAGTGCAAACGGGCAAGCTGATGCAAATGCGCCTGTCATGATATGACCGGGCCCCTTCGCGCACGGGGCCATATTGGCAAACGAGGACTCTAAGATGAAGGATGCCATGCCCCGCGGGCACGCGCACTCCTAACATTTAAAATCCACCAAAACCTTGAAGAGGCCCTGGGATATGGGTAGAACCACCTACACTCGCCAGCTCCAGAAGGGGGCCCTCGGGAAACGACAAGCTCCAGCGCTAAGGTGGAGGAGGAGGATAGTGCTTGCAATTGTTTGTTTTGCCTTTTTTTCCTACACCTCCCTCATATTAGTTACCCCCTCCACAGTATCTCGATATGCGACGGGCTCCTCGCGTGCGTGGAGGTTGCCTTCAAAGTCCGAGGCAGTTCTGGCCGCGGCAGTGACCATGCGGCGGCGCAGCTGGGCCAGCAGCCCACCAATGGCGCATCGGGCGGCGGGGCGCCCGCGGCAGGCGCCGCAAGCGGCGGCCAACCAGCTGGCGAACAGCAGCCATCGACGACTGGCATCGCTGCGCCCGCGGCGGCGCCCCCCCCTCGCCCGCCGGCGTTGCGCGTGCCCCAAGACGGGCTTGTGCGAATTCACATACTTGTTAACGGGCTTTCTTAGGGCGCGCATAGATAGGGCCGCGAACGGGCCGAAACCAGGCGTCCATATTTTCAGAGATGCAGACGCCCTCTTTTTGGCTTAGATTTCCCCACCTCGGGCCTCGGGCGTGGCGCCCCGCCTCCCTAGCGACGAAACAGCGACCTGGTGCCCCGCGGCCAAAGACGACTACGGAGGGCCGCAACGGAAAAAAAACCTAAGCCTAGCCCGCCCCTTAACAGGCACCCAGTGGACCGGCGACTGGGGGTTGGATTACTGCGCGGC